AATAATTCTTACAAAATACCAAACAGAAAGTGGGGTGTTGGAAAATGGGACATATTCCTACATGAAATAATAAGACATAAGTAGTGATGACTGTTCTATCATAATTGTTCTATCTAAAGCATGAATTTGGCGAACGATAAACATTATATTTATAGTCAACCTCAATGACTAACGTGGGCAAAACTTAAAACGAATATGTCCGCAATCCACAAACAATCACTTCACTAATGGCGAGCATTTACCAACCCGCGACAATCGTGTTAACTCGGGGATTCCCCTAGCAATAATCTCGCTTCTAAACTCACTACTGTTTTACTGTCGGGTAGCCACAATGGCTAGACTGGACCCTTCTGGAATGGTTCATGCCATAAAAGTCATACAACGGAACACTAATTAAGACGGGCCGACCTTGTGTTCATGGTCTGGTGAACATAGGTCACTGGCGGCTCGTTAACTCAAGATTCACATCTCACTGTTTTGATTTATCTCACTATTCATTTCATATATTTTCCAACTTCAACTGAAACCCGGTCCCGTGTTACACGCATGGCACACGCATGTGCAACGAGTGACTCACGCGTGCTCAACGGGTTGCACACGCGCTGCACACCCGTTGCACACCAGTGTCATATGCGTGTTACACGCGTTCTCAACGCGTGTTAGGGGAATGAACTTTTAGGCAGTAGTGTATGTCAGCAGTATTCTTGCTGCGTAGGGGATATTTAAATCCAGTCTATCTATCTACCATGTAATGACCACATGTTTACACCACGTGCTCTTGCTTGGTCAGCGATACATCATAGGGTATCCTATCTGTGTATTTCAGAGTTGGCCAGTAATTAGCCTGTCCAGCACAAGATAACAACTAATTGTCATCGAATACATCCCTGCTTTGAGAAACATAGAAATTAGGATATTTCCTGAGTCTAGCAATCTTATTAGGCATTTGTGACCGAAGTTTTTGTACACTGATCCTTTTTTTCTGAACAGCTATGTTACATTCCTCTTTTGTACTGGATTCCAAACCTCTATAAAAATCTGTACAAAGAGAGATATATTGCTGGGTCAAGCAAAAGTACAACTTAGTCCCTATCTCAAAGATGAACCATAATCCTTATTACTTAAGAAATGACTTTCTTTATATTCACAGGAAGTATTTGACACAAGTGGAATTAATACCATGTTGATTCTCAAAAATTCACAGGATTTGCTTGATGTTTTGCAATCTCAGAAAAAAAACAAGTTCCATTCTGTCAAAACATTTGATTTTTCAACTTTGTACTTAACTTCAGGAAATTCTTCATTCCTTGATCCGTGGGACTTTTGTTACAAAACGTGGTGAACACAGATACAGTTACGTATCTATACTCAGAGGTTAAGGACAATTTGTGAAAAATGAAAGCAAATGCCATCTGAAGTTTACTGCGAAAACAAAAATTGAAATGCGGAACTTCCTCATTGATAACATCGACGTAAAATTTAGGGGTAAGACATTTAGGCAAGAAGTTTGCATCCCCATGGGCACCAATTGTGCTCTCATTGTAGCGAATCTGTTCCTTTGTGTTTAATCGGAATTTCTGTTCGGATTGGAAAAATCAAAACAAGGTAATCTGGCCAAGAAGTTCAACTTAAGCTGCAGGTATATCGATGATCTGTTTTTTGATAGCGAGTCGTAGACACATGCTCTTGATAGTCGGAATCGGACAATCGACTCTGCTTTATGCAGATATTTCTAATAGATATGGAAAGTTTCGCTTTATTTACTAACCAATATTCCATGTGGTTTTCGAAAATGTTGCAGTTCCATTGACCATTTACTTTAGTTGAGAATGCCATTAGAAATAAACATCTTGCAGTGTCTATCTTTTTTTTTGTGAAAAACTATGACACTACATGGAAGCATATTATTATTACAGATTGACGTGACCCTTGGATTGCGAGGCCGTTTGCATCAATTTATATCAAACCTTTAACTGACCATTTCAAGTCAGCGTGGGTTCTACCCTGTCTGGTCATCATAATCAGGATCAGGACGTCCCACAAGGCAGTATTTAGTCTGTCACATTATTAAGCATCAATATTTTATCAAACGTTTTAAATGATTTAATTGATGGATCACGTTTTGTGGATGGCCTTAATATTTCCCGTCGTGGCAAAAAAATGCATATTATTTAAGGGCAACTGCAGCAATGTTTACATAAAATTCAGAAATGTTCAAAATCTAAAACAAACTGTATTCTCTTTTGCAGAAAACATTAACCTGACAAACAACCAGAATTAATTTTAGATAACACCCCTATTATAGCTGTAAAAGAAGCCAAATTCTTAGGTATAATTTTCGATCATCATTTGATCTTCCTGTCCCACATTAAATACTTAAAGAATAAGGCTTGGGCCTATTGAAAGTGGGGAGGGGAGCAGAAAAACCTCCTCCTTCTCTGCTTTAAACACGATTACGGCTCCATCATTAATGGTGGGGCTTGTAAACGCAATTTAGAATTGTTAGATTCTATTCATCACCAAGGCCTGATCATAATGCTTTGCCTTGTGACCTTCAGAACTCAGCCGATATATAGTCTGTGTGTGGATGCTGATGAGCCGTCTCTATAAAGAACTCTACACCAAAACAATCATCTCTTTTTACACCACTTTGAAAAAAATACCATCTTGTATTTGTGCTGCTAATATCAATCTTGACCCTAGACCCTACTCAGCTTTGTCTCAGTATTAAAAAGGCCAGTGGTGGGCCTAACATTTACTTATAAGCTAAAGAAATCTCAAACAAATGAAAGTATTTATCAAGAAGAATATAATAGATTAAGAAACACTTACGATAGTTACAAATTTATATTTACAGATGGATCCAAGGATGGTGACGCAGTTGCTAACACCACTGTCATTGGATCCAGGACTTTATCATCCGGAACCTAATAACTGTTCCATTTTCACAGCAGAAGCAAATGCCATTTTAGCTGCTCTAAAATATATCACTTAACAGTCAAAATATACGCAGTTTATAATATTTTCCGATTCTTTTTCGTGCATCCAGGCTATTAATAACATGTCCTGTATACATCCACATTTAATTGAAATTGTTGAATTACATAACGAACTTGTTACTTGCTTATACGACATCGTCTTTTGTTGGTTACCCAGCCAAGTTGGAATCATTGGTAACACAATTGGTGATGCTGCAACTAAATAAGCACTCAGCAAATCTGTGACACCACTTTTGATCTTATATAGTTATATTAAGCCTGTCATGAAATGTTTCTTCCGATATCTAATGCAATAAAGCGGGGCCCCAAAGTAGGTGTAAATAAATGACATGCAATTAAACCAACTATCGGTTACATTTACTTGAATTGTCAGTCCAGATTTGAAGAGGTTATTATACGACGATTTTGTTTTGGCCATTCGAGACATATACATGAATATTTATTGAAAAGTGAGGATCCTTAGTTCTGCATCCCTTGTGATGAAAGAATCACAGTCAAGCATGTCATGCTTGACTGTATTGATTTTGCCATAACAAGGGATAAATATTTCGGAGCAGCATCAATAATGGATCTTTTGAATAATGTTCCGTCTCATTTAATGATAAGTTTTTAAAAGGAAATTTTGAATGTGTGTACATAATTAACATTTTATAGTATTAGTAGTGTTCTATTTGTAACTGAGAATGTAAGTGGTTTTATCATCAAAGGAGGTTGAAGTGCTGTAAAATTATAGTCCCACTGAGAGGAAATGTAAGCCCACTTTATTCAAAGTACGTTTATTTCCACTACGTTTTTAATCGTAGAATAGCACAAGTATCCCCGTGGTCCCCAGTATGGTTGTCCAGCTTTGGTTGCTGGCGATCTATAGCCCGTTTGATAATGTACTGTTCTGTATTGTGATATCTGTTTATAGTTCCCATAATAGCTTTAAATATTAATCTGTGTAAACTTGTTATTTTATTGTCCTTTGTTGATAGACAGTCTAAATATCTTTGCTCTTAATGTACAACTTTCTGTCGTCACGATATTATTGAAATATTGCTGATGTGGTGTTATATTTAAACTCATTCACACAGAAGCATGCCTCGACAATTCGTGCATGTATGGCCAACAGAGGTGGTTTTACCCGATATTAGTGACGTTGGCTGCAAAATGCAAACTTCGAAAGTGACACCCGACCTCTTTAACGACTGAGTGGACCACCATATCATCACATCAACCATTAGAAACCATTAGGTCCTATCGCCGTTTCCTATGGCAACACCATAGAGATCAAAAGATATGTCTTGATGATACCTTCTACCCCCCACGTTTTGGGCAATGTACCGACGGATACTGAAATTCCAGCCATGGTTATTGTACGAGCGCTCCATTAGATCTGCTACAGGATTACTTCCCCTTATCCAGGAAGCCAATGTCCTGAAACCATGTGTTTAAATACATAATCAGTTGTCTAAAATATCTGGTGTAATGCTAATATCAACAGAGATTATTGAAGATTCTGCAAATGGGATGAAATTACTTTACATTTTTACATATGATAAATTTAACATTTTTACATATGATAAATTTAACTTCGTTAACTCAGCAATATTCGAAAAACGTAGACTGCTGTTGACTGATATTAATCCGCATTCCCTTCGGCAGGTGCTATAATAATCAATTATCAACTCATCCACTGAGCTTTTTGTAAATTATAGTTGTGCACAAAAACCAATAACTAAGTGACGAGCAAATCCTGTTGCAAGTCTCGTCGAAAAACCCTGTAAGTGAGCTGGGTTTGGTTTCTGGTGACATTTGTAAGTTTTGTTGCTGTGCTACATATGTTTGGCATTATCCTTATGTGTGACTTTGATATATTGATATCATTCTTTTTCACTCCATAACTTGTTCTTATCACTGTCTGGCTTCAGTATTTCTGATGGGACTATTTTTATGTAAAGTTATCACGTTATCGTTATGTCGAAACTCTCCGCCAAATACACAAGGTAACACGTGAAATCTCTTGCCTTCCTGTTTTATTCATATGGTTTAAACACGATGCATCAGACTATACACGATAATGGGACAAAACACTTTGGGTGGGTAGGTAACAATCGTTCACTGTCACTGTAGATAAGAAGTAGATAACATTTACTCTGTGTCGGTGGTCACTGGGGGAGAGTTCCACGTCATCAGTAACATATCATCAGTGGCCGAAAACTATCAAGGAATTTTATCTTCTTAGCTACAGTGAGGTAATAATATTCAATTTGTAAGGAATCATTGACATGCAGAATAAGGATGTTTACAAAAGATTATGAGGTTAAAAAACATGAACCATATATTGGTATGTTGTCAAACAAATTAACAATTATTGACAATTTTTGGGCAAACAAACGCAAAATATTTGTCGAATATGTCCCAGCCCCTCCTATTAAATATGTGTATATGTGGTTATTGATCACAACATCAAACGCAATATGTATCTACTAGACGTCGTATTCCGGTCCGGGTGTATTCAGTTGAGGTTCAACGTTGCAAGGGCAGCCACACCCATGAGAAGCAGGAGGTGCACCGATACCTTAGCAGCACCAGAAGCTGAAATACAGTACATTGATGTTACATTTATCATCTGTTCGTTTTCCATTATTTAATGGTCAGTGATCCTGGAAAACAATAATCGAAGACGATGAATTGGTCGTAATTTCCTTATGTTGTGAAGTGTGAGTAGTTTTTCTTCAAATAGAAGCGAAATAATCCGTTGCACAATCATAATATTACATAATACAGAAAATCGGCAAAGTCATTTCCATAACATTAAGTCGCTATTGAAAGCGAAGTCTGTTGTAGGATTTTGACTGTATCGTACGAATGAGTTTGTGAATTACTATCGATTAGAGTTGTTAAAAGGTGAGCGTATCTTGCCCAAACGGTGGCACCCGTCAAACACATGCATAGGCAACTTTTCGTTCAAGTCAAAATACTGAATTGCATCAGACGAAATATTTTCACAAATTTGTCCTCGACATGGCTAACCTAAAAATATTTAAATGTCAAACAGATGAGGCGGTTTCACTGGACCTTTTTAGTTCTAGTTCACATAGGAAAAGGGAATTAGCTATTTGACAAGCATTGAACCACATCAGATCATCGAAATACCCGAAGCTTAATTTAAACTTCTTGGACAAATTCCCATATCATTATTTTAAAAACCCAACACATTGATATTCCATTGATGTGAAAATGTTAAATATGTTTCCAAAACTGATAACTTATCCATTGTTTGCAAAACTGTGAGTTAGAAAATGTTCAGGACATTAATCTTAAACCACTAACAACTGGGCTCTTTGTGTTGGCACAACAAATTGACGTGTTTTGTTCTGCGACAACATAAACGTTTGATCGGAAACTGGTTCATACCAACTAATATTTCATGTATATTTAAATGTAACCCTTAGACCTATAATTGCCAAAACTTGAAATAAGAAAAGTCACGCTGTGATGGCTGATGAGTTGGCTGTGGCGTGAATGATTTAAAAAAAAATATTTTAGACCTTTTTATAATGTTTACTATTAACATCACATAAGTGTTTTCGATGGACGTCCATTAATCATGATCCTAATGCAAAAGCATAAGAGAAGCTTAATTGTATCAGCATAGATTATTCAAGCATTCAATTCATTGAATTGTGAGATGTGATCATGGAAATAGTTTACCATCAGCACACAGGTCCCCTCCAAAGCCTGGAGCACAGAAACAGATATCCTGTCCGGTGGTGTCAGCCTTACAGGTGCCGCCGTTTTCACAGGGAATCAAAACTGTGCACTTTGGAGCTTGAAATATGAAAATAAGAGAGGAAGAGAAGGGTTATCAAATTATAACGAATACATTTAGGTCAGCTGTACTTTGTTTAATGAAAGGCTTGTCGTAAGAGGCGATTAACGGGATCGAGTGATAAGGCTCGCTGACTTGGTTGATATGATATCAATCACTGGATTGTCTGGTCCAGACTCGATTATTTACAGACCGCCGTCATATTGCTTGAATATTGCTGAGTGCGACGTTAAACAACAAACCAAACAAACCATTTAATGGAAGGAACTGAGTCTCATTTCTTATGGAGAGACAAATGAATATTGTCGACTCTGAAATGACCTAATGTTTTGGGTGTAAGCCATGATTCACCAGCGCCATTTTCTAGTATGCACACATGAACGTGAACATGTGCGGATCCAAGAAGGGTTGTGTGGAGGGTGCAGCGGAACGTTTATACGTTCTTTCCGTTTATGTGCTTTCATTTTTGTATTTTAAGTTTTTATGCTCTATCCGCGCTCCACGAACAAGGAAAGCAATGTTGTTAGTAGGACTGAAATGCATGCGTCGAGACTGCCACTGCATATTCACCTGATGATGGAGTAAGCATATACTCCGAAACGTTCTGTTCCTCAGAATAAAGAAGTTGACATCCATATATTCTCTTCCATACTGTACACATTTTCAGATTGTCTTGCATGAGAGCAACATAATTTGTCCACTAAGAATCTATGGTTGACATGGTCAAGGGTCATAGGAACGTACCTAGATTGCATGTGTCTCCTCCATAACCAGGGGCGCATTTGCAAAGATACTGATCACTACTTTTGTCGCAGGTTCCACCATTAAGACAATCCGTGGCAGCGTCGCATTGGGGAGCTGTAACATGTAATGCATTTAAAGTTGAAGTTGAAGTGACAGCTACATCGCAGCAAATTGACTGTTGTCTTAGCAACCTGAGTATGAAATATAAATGTGTAATACGTTAGAGAAAACTGTGTAATAGTGGTATGGAAATAACATGATCTTTTTCACACCTGAACTTTTTTTACTTCCTGCATGTTCAACTATTCAAGAAGTGGATAAATAAGTGAAACTTCAAGTGAAATCTAACAATGAGCAATTCTATAACCCAAAATGATTTGCTCCTGTTTGTACTGTCGTTATCTACTTTTCAGAAGACAATCAGCGTGACAATCAACATTAAAAACATGTCACTGACAACCCCTAAAATCTTCCTTTCAGGGCAGATTAGCCTTCAAAATGCATTAAGTGATGTCATAACTGCAAACAGGAATGATCAAGTTCTGATTCACAGGTACATATCTGTTGACTGTCATGACAGTTTCTTAACGTTTTGATGATTTCTTCGATTATGCGGATCCAGTGGGTTAAGAAGAGCCTTTCTCATACCTCGTTCTTTAAGTGGTAATGAGATAAATGGTTTTAAAGGTTGGAATGTCTATGAAAGCAGCATATGTGTGGGATTTTGTAAGTTGTTGTTTTGCAGTAATTATTGTCATTTGCTGAAGACATTTCTAAAGACAACACTTTTGATCACTGTGGTTCTCAACGCGTGTTAGGGGAATGAACTTTTAGGCAGTAGTGTATCAATGTCCTTATTTACAACATGTAAACAACATAACTGTTTTATAAATACAATAGTATTAACTTTAAGATATTTCAACATGTCTCTAGTATGCTGTTCTAAAGGATTGTTCAACTGCACCAGGTATTCTATCGGACATATACAGTGATTTTGCAGATTTATTCCTCATGTACGTAAATAGTAACATAAGGAGAAATATTGTCTGTAGCCAGGTAATTCAACACATGCAAGGAATTTCAGACACTGAACACAACATTGAGATGCCTTGCATGAGAGCCCATCCACATAAACAACAACTTAATTTGTCCAGTAGAATCTATGGCTGACATAGTCATGGGTCATATAAACGTACCTAGATTGCATGTGTCTCCTCCATGACCAGGGACGCAGTTGCAAAGATACTGATCACCATTTTTGTCGCAGGTTCCACCATTAAGACAATCCGTGGCAGCGTCGCATTGGGGATCTGTAACATGTAATGCATTTAAAGTTGAAGTGAGTATTTGACAGCTACATCACAGCAAAATGACTGTTGTCTTAGCAACTTGAGTATGAACCAGACAAACCAGTGGTTGATCCATTCAATGATCTCAGCCTTGATGCACAACATTGCAACCACACGATCCAACTAACGTCATTGTGCCCCGACAGAAAGATCATTGCACCTATAATATCTATCCTATAAAAGTCTGTACAGACTCGGCTTTTTTCAGGATATGTAGGTGGATATTACATTCCTGAGTGAGGCGTTCAACAACAAACAAACAAACATGCCACACGACGTCGGCCTGTAAAGAACCGAATCTGGTGATCTGGGTCCTGCTCTACCGGTAACACCCAGTAGCAACGGAGATGTGAAAACTCATTTTGACGTGAAATTCCATGAGGTCTTAAATAAATGGGAAATATATGCATTGTTAGTTCTTAGTTTAAGGTGAAATGTTTTTCGTATATAGTGACATTATACGTTTAAGGTGTTTATACTATACATTTCGCTACAATAATTGGAGGGGGACGTTTATGTGGCTGCATTTATTCGTAGACCAGCACTGAGTTCGGCGTACCACCTAAAACACCCACACATTGTGTGGCACAGCATATTGAGGTACATGGTTTTCACTCAGCATTTTCAGAGAATATTTCTACATTTGGAACACACACAGAAATAGATTTTTACACTGTGTTAATGCCCACAATTAAGGATTTCTTGTGGTATGCAGTGCGACAAAACAAACATGAAATAAAGTTGTATTACCGAGGTCACATTTATCTCCTCCATAGCCTGCTTCACAATTACAGGTATCCTTGGGCGGGTTCGATGTATCAGGTTCACATGTTCCTTTGCCATTACATGGATCAGGGAGGCAAGGGTCATCTGAAATATATTATGGTCTGTAATAAGTTAATCACACATCAATGTAAGCTGTCCTTTTGTTATTTCTTACGTTTTCATTTCTTGACTCTTATGAACATGTTAGGTCTGACGCCATGACGCCCACATGCACCGATTTCCAAAATGTCTTTTTTCTATGCATAAAGTTTCAGAGTGACAAAACACTCTCCAAGACTGTATGACAAGAGGGATTACTTTGACTTTTTTATAGTCAATTATCCCTTTATGTCGAACAGTGTTGCAGCAACTCCTGCCTTTAATGTGTACATTTCACAACTTTGGAGGTACAACCGAGCATGCTCTTTCTACCAAGATGTCACAAAGGGTAAAACGACTCTTGCTCAGAAGAACATTCAAACCCTCAGTAAAGCTTTCATTAAGTTTTATGGTAGACATGTGGAGGACATTTCCAAATTTGACGCATCAGGGACAAAAATGATGTCCGATCAAATTCCTTATTTTGATTTATACCATATGTTCCGTGTTTATTCATGTGTACAATTGACTTTGCATGTTTTTGTGACGGGTGCCACCGATGGGACAGGATACGCTCACCATTTCGCGACGACCTGGTATCATCACAGTGATTCATAGACACATGCTCATGGCATGATCGGAATCATACAGTCGTACTTTGTGCAAAGATTTCTATTTGTTGTAGATATTTTATGTCACTTGGTTGTCTTGTTAGTTTGACAAGTAAATTTATTGCTATAAGCATACACTACCTCCGTGTTGTTGTAGATAGAGTGTCTATCAGGAGAGCAGTAGAGATGTGGCTTCGTACCCTAGCGCGCCATACCAAACGATTTAAAAGATGGTACTTGTTACTCTGCCAGTCATTAATGTGGATAAAACAAGGACTAGTCGGCTCGAATTCAGTGTCTGGGCAGGATATACATGCTTAACTGCGTCATGTTATCTAATTGTTCAAGACTCGAATATTTACAGGAAGTTCAGTTAAATGTACGATTCCGACTATATTATAAGCATGTGGTAATGAATCACTATCAAATAATGAACAAAAAGTGGGCGTGTCCTACCTCACCAGTGGCACTTGTGAAAATAAGGAATTGCACTGGACTTCATTTCGGTCACTGATACGTCAACCTTGGAGACATTCTCCAAATATCTTCCATAAAACGTTTCGAAAGCCTTACTAAGGCCTTGAATGCTGTAACCGATGTCAGACAAGTTTTGGCACCCGAATATCAATTTGTCATAACACATACTTTTCTCAAACATTATTTCATACATATTAGTTTTGTTTGATTTCATCAAGGCATACTGTGAGAAACAGTAACTTTTGATTCAGTGTACTTGAACTATGTGTATCATATAAAGCTTCTGTTATATTTTACAGAGCGAATAATGAATGGAAATACAGAACTATAAATTTCGTACAGTATCAAACATGATTGAATGCCACAGGATTTGATCTCAATTTATTTGTCCAATATCAGCAATGTCAGATTTATGCTAAAAATATAAACACCGAATATAATCGCTTTTGGATTGTGCATCTGAAGTATGGGAAAGTTGTATACAGTAACAATGACAAAACCCTCAGAAAAGATATTTGAATGCTACCAGAAAGGTTATAGGTCTTCTAAAATATATATAATTAGAGCATTTATATTATGAAACAGGATGACAGTCATTGACCAAAAGAAGATATTACCTGAACTTTTGCTTGTTTTGTGAAATATATCATTATCATACTTCTACATTTTTTAATTAGGCTTCCTGATGCCTGTCTTCTTGTGATTGACATCATGAGCATTGATCTACGCAATTGGGATGCTATACACATATGTATCAACCAAGTCACAAAGCCTCTCCGCCAGATCCCGTTAGTCGCTTTTTACTGCAAGTGAAGGTAACTGGGTACCTATGTTACTACCTGAAATCACTACGAGTGTGGTGTCAATGTACATGTAGCACCTTACTTAAGAAATTCTCCAATTCCTCAATACGTCTGAATCAATAGTCGGACAATGTGTTTGTTCTATTGACTAAATGTTGAATTGGTTATCACTGTTTACTTACAAACGTTTATTTAGTGTAAATAATTTAAGCATAAGTTTAACACGTCACCGTGTTATGGGTTTTCAGATGCTTAAGGAACATTTGTAATTTTTCTCGTTAATCACAAGAACAACTGTAAAACATCTCACTCACTTAAAAAAGACGACTGTGTATCTTAAAACAGGTCACCATCTGAGTAATTACAATGTCTGTGTGACGCCAAGCCCCTTGATATAGCGCGAGTCCGAAAACGTATGATGTCCGAAAACCTATGACCCGACGATATAACCGCACGTCTGTCTTTCTGGGGAGACATACTGTCTGTCTCACAACTGTGAGTTCACTTACAGAATAGAGAGTGCTTCAGAAAATGACATCTATTTTGTGTTTTAGGATGTACTTCACATCATGTGTTTTCAGATTTTCAGGTTTATTTAATATATGATGCCCGGACATTTTACATTTCGAAACTTCCGGCTGAAACTCTCGGGTCCACATAAATTTCAAGGCATAAACTACTCCATTAAGAAACACTTCCGCCGTTGGTTTCAAATAACATTTCTGAGCATCGAAAACTCCATAAAACCGGCAAATCTGAACACACGTAATGCTTATCTGTTAAGATAGTCAGATGTGGCCTGTGCAGTGACATTTAAGTGATAATTTTGTACACATGTGAAAACATGTTTCATTAGACTTTCCTCAATCGTCTTGCTTATTTATATTTGAATCACACAGATCTTCACTTTTAAACATTACAAGTAAATGAACTTATATTAAATTATGAAGTTGTATATATTTTAAGAACTAAAAAAATGATTGAGTTATTGTCATAAATATGCTGTCTATTTATTTTGTGATATCTATTTATTCTTTTTGTGATATTCTATCTATTTAATCATGTTTGTAATACTATTGTCCTGGAATAAGTGTTAGTTGTGAAAACTTGGGCTTAATCTTTTTGAAGCATTTACAATTTACATGTGCTAATGAAAGTAAAAAAACAATATTTCCATTATCATAAGACGTTAATGCTTAGGCAGAGTCCATTGTACGAATTAAACAATATCGAGTTCATTTGTTTATGAATCACTATCAAATAGTATGCTCGCGAAAAGGTCAAACATGTGTCAACAAAAAATAAACAAACTAGAAAATGAGTTTCTGCTTTACTTTTTAAGCGACTTTCAAAGCGATGTTAACAGTTTACTTTAAATTCCCAGCGCTGGCCTTAAAAAGATGTTTCCAGGTTTCATTTTCGTTCTAAACGTTCATAATATTAAATGTGGCTTACCATGTTCACACAAGTCACCAATGTAACCAGTGTCACAGGTGCACGTCTTTTCTGTTTCACAGGTTCCATGTCCGCTGCATGTAGGATCTGTAGTGCAGTCAGCCATACAGAGTCTTCCGTACATGGTGGCGACAATGCCTAAAAGAGAAAAATGTTTTCATTCATGAGAGGAACTAGTATTATGTCGTTACTTTTTATTGTCAGTTATGACATTATTTGTCCAGTCTGAACCTGTCAAAAGCGTTCCTAACAGCATGGGAAACGATCTATACGGGCACGATGACATACAAACAACAAAGTTTCTAAGCCTGACCTACCTCTTTAGATGACCTTGACAAACATGAGAAACTGGCAACCTTCTCTCTCCAGGCATGCCCACAAGATAATTACATTTTAGATTTTATTTTTTATGTTTACATGATTGCCCTAATTTGAAGCTTAGATCAAAGGCTACATGTCACATAATACAATAAACTGAATAGACAATACTTATACTTCCCAATATAGTTCATCTTTCATTTCAAGTTTGTTCCATCTAGTATACAACATGTGTACACCATTTTCCCAAACGCATCAAACTGAAAATAAAACAAAATTTTAAAAAGTCACATGACGGTCTATACATACTAGAAGAGTCACTTACCCAAGAACAACACTGTTTGTTTAAAACCTTTCATGGTTGAAAACAGCAGCTGTTCAGTCCTCTCTCAGACCCCGACAGGTATAGATCCTATTACGATCATCTTTTATATAGGGACGATGCCATAGCGACCGGTCTGTGTTCGTCACATGTGTGCACTGTGCTACGAAACGTACGAGTGATATGTGTTTTCCACAATCCAAATGTCCATAAATCTGCCTACTCATGACATCACAATACTGGCGGACACCCAGATTCATATAAATGCATTGCACAACCAACTGTGTGGTGATTCAGTGCATGTTCACCAGCCAGACTTGAAATTCACATAACATTAGATCAATGAAACGTTTACTTGTGGTTTGTAGGGCAAGTTATGTGAAAATAATATTGAAATGTTCAGATGGACCACGGACGAAAACCATACCATGAGCTTACCTTGATTATGCCTTACTAAATTCGAATTTGAGCGAGAATATAAGTTTTACTGGCATAAATCGCAATGGTACTATTATCCCGTGAGGAAAACAATACATTAATACCCAAAATAGCAAATGGTCACACAGAAGTTGAGTGAAGTATATCAATATTTCTATACTTGAGAGCTACTGACACTGATCATGCTAAATATGTTGACATGTGCTACGTACACTGTTACATTAGCCAGAAAAAAAGATAACAACAAGAGCTATGTTTGTAAAGTTAGTGCATGGATCTAAGCATACCCAAATATACTGAACCGCAAAAGAAACATCACCCCAACAAGCATTGCATGAAAAGTTGTCACTTAAACATCTGGGAATTTTTTGTCAAGGTTTATAAAATTTAACATTACCTTGTCCGGAAAAATAAAATTTGATGCTAATAAAACAAAGCAAATGACAATAAAACCGATCGCCCAAACGCATCACGGCAAACCAGGCACGTGAGTTCCATGCAAATTGAAATGCACATGCGTTCCCCCATTTCTTGCGCTATAAAAATCCACCCAGATCGGATAACATTCATTCAATATTGAATTGCTACCACATGCCAAGACTGACAAGAAAACAGCGACACCAAGCCTTTGGACGATTGGAAGCTGAACAAACTGCGCGGGAAGTAGCCAATGCATTTCAAGTCCACATAGGGACCATATGCAGGCTCCAGCAACGGTACCAGACCACCAACACTACAGATGACCGACCACATAGTGGAAGACCAAGGGTCAGGATCGTCAGAATGTGCGACAGCATCTTCAAAATCGCTTTGTTACTGCTGCGGAAACTGCTCGACACGCCAGCAACACATTAGTGTGGACACCGTGCGTCGACGATCGACGAGCAGACACCACTACACTCACAGGCCACACCGAGGACCCATTCTGTCGCCTTGTCATCGCCAGGACCATCTTCATTGGACCACACAACACAAGCATTGGCGCCACCAGCAGAGGAGAAGAGTCCTCTTCTCAGACGAGAGCCGTTACTGTATCTCAACAGCAGATGGCAGAGAAATCATGGCGTGGGGTGGAATTGGTCTTGCACAGAGGATCGGCCCTGTGGTCTTCCAGAACATCGGTCCAGGGAGAGGCAATGATGTCACAGAAGCTCAGTACATTGATCAAGTCTTGAGACCACACGCCATACCTCATTTGGCACGTCGCCGCAACCACGAGATTCAGCATGAAAACGCCCCGTGCCCACACTGCGTGAGCAACAAAAGACTTCCTCAGTCAGAATGGCAGCAGAACCATGCAGTGGCCTGCCCTCAGTCCCGATTTAAATCCCATTGAACACCTGTGGGACGAGATTCAAAGACGGCTGAATGACGTCCGACCAAGGCCGTCAACTGCAGCTGAACTGGGTCAGGCGTTTCTCAGAGTGTGGGTTCAAGTGCCTATACTTTCATCAACCGCCTCATCCATTCCATGTGTCGACGTTGCACGACGGTCATCAATGCACATGGCGGACACACGAGATACTGACTTGTGATGCCATTTTCTCAGAGACTAGTATTATGTTTCACTTTAAGAAAATTTGACACTTTACTTTCAACCTTGATGATTTTGCCAAGTGTCATTTTTTAATATATCTCAAAGTATGTTTACAGTGTTTGGACAAATAGTGACGTTTCTTTTGCGGTTCAGTATATAATCCTGCTGTACTCAGTAATAAATCGCAAGTACACTAAGTGTGTGAGTGAGTGAATATGGTTTTACGACGCTTTTAGCAATATTTCAGCAATATCACGGCGGGGGACACCAGAAATGGGCTCCACACATTGTACCCATGTCGGGAATCGAACCCGGGTCTTCAGCGTGACGAGCGAACGCTTTAACCACTAGGCTACCCGACCGCCTCCAAATACACAAAGGAAGAAGTCTGTTTGACAAGAGTTAAAATACTACTATTGCATATATTTATAGTATTGACTGTATTTGAGAAAATGAAGCAAACTAGAATGCATATTATAATTGAGGCACTTTGTTCTGTGTCTGTGTGATATTCGGTATTTTTTTATTGTTAGTAATTAGGGGGCAGTGATTTACATGTGCCTCTTAATTAATGCATTTGTTCAAGACAATTTGTCGAAAATGAAAGCAAATGTTATGAGAAGTTTACTGAGAAAACAAAACATAAAGTGCTGTACTTCCTCATAGATAACAGACCGCCTCCGTGGTCTAGCGGTAGAGCATCTACCTAAAGAGTTGAATCCTCGGGGTTCGACCCCCGGTTTCGTCATACCAAAAGACATTGAACATGCGACATGGAATCTCAGTTGGTTAGCACTTTAAAATCGGCAATAATCCGGACTAGTATAAGTGCATAAATCTTTCAAATGGTAGACATGTGTAGGGCGTATCGAAATATGACGAATCGGCAACAAAACATCATGTCCTATTCAATTCCCTACTATGTTCCCGTGTTCTTCAGGTGAAGGATTGACTTGCCTTTGCACGAGTTTGTGATGGGTGCCACCGATAGGGAAGGATACACATGCTTTTGATACAGTCGGAGATTTGGTACTTCTGTATATAGTAGTGCATATATGGTCTGTTTTTCTTACATAAGGTGAATCTAACTTCTGTGTATTTTCAACACTGTTCTGTAATAGTACAATCATTGTTCAGATTTAGAAACATTGTGGACAGTCAGTTACTTGATTTGCAAGGTTGAGTTAGCTAGGATGTGTTGGTGGTGGGTTTGACAGAAGATGCATCATACTTATAATCAAACAAAAATGAGATTTCTTAAACCTGCATCACTTTTGGGTTGCCTCAAGTATTCAGCTCACACGTTGTGGTAAACACTTGAGTGAAACATGTGAGTGACTAACTGTCCTCATTATCACCAATTTAGGATTGACGTGTTAAATTGTCCCTGTGATAATTGGGTGAGATGAAATCGGGTTTGACGTTGAGTCCAAGATTATTGCACTTATTTAGCAACGTGCATGCATGTGTGTATGTTGGTCGGAATAATGTCAATTTTATAGTTCTATTGTTAATGCAACATTTTCCCTGCTTGAAGATTACTGACTTGGTTCAGTATTTCTAAGTAGATGAATACAACAGAAATTCTAACTCCCAGGACACTTCACAGTGCTTGGTGGGATCATGTGTGATATGATGGTTTGTAATAAATGTAATAAAACTAAATATTGACCTTACATAAAGATTATTATTTTGTGTTTGCTAGGTTAGTTTTATTAAGATCAAAAGACATGATGTTTGCAAGAAGAAATCGTTCTTCAAATCTTAAAACTGTTTACATGGTATTCAAAGCATGGCAGTCATCAACAAACGTTATATCAACACATAGATTTGTACAGCGTGCAACCTTTTTACGAAATCAAGCATTCATCCTAGCAGCCATTGAGGAGGTGCTCTTCAAATAAACGGTCCACGATTATCCCAAAGCCTGTAAATCCAACACTGCACTAGTTTTAGGATTTATATGGGGTAGAACAATGAGAGTTGTCCTCCATCGAGATACTACCATGAGGTCGTGTGTGTGTGTGTGTGTGTGTGTGTGTGTGTGTGTGTGTGTGTGTGTGTGTGTGTGTGTGTGTGTGTGTGTGTGTGTGTGTGTGTGTGTGTGTGTGTGTGTTGGGGGGGGTAGTCGATATATACCACACGGTTTTACATTTAATAGTAAAATGATTTATTTTGTCCTTAAGGTTATCTGCTTGTCTATAAGAAATTCTAACTTTTTCTAAGATATGCATTTCCATCTCTTTATTATTTAATCTTACTGTCCAAATGAAAGGTGAAGTGGTAAGGGTGAATATATTGTGCAAGACACTTTACACAGTGGCATAAATAGAAATCATTTACAACAGTTTCACATAAATGTGGCGTTAGTAGTATTTAGGTTTGTTTGTAATATGTGAAGCATTTAAAGAAAGCTTGTGATAACAGTGCTGGGGCTTTAAGACAACTACGTCAGTAAAAAGCATTGATTAACGCATTTCACTTAAATTCATAAGTTTCACTGTTGGCGAAAGTTGTGAAATTTATGCACAGTGTTCGAGAGACTGACAACCAACTATAATTAATGTATGTAATTAGAACGCCACGAAGCGTATATAAATGGCTAGATGCATGTGAAGTGTTCAAGTTCAACCATCCTGAACTAAGTACGAATCAATAAGCAATATGAAATATCACAAATCAATCAGTCGAATTCTCTATCACTAATCGTGTAACTGTTCGCGAAGACCAAGTGTCATCAATGACACTTTTCAACAATATTTTGCCTGTCACGCCTTATGGAATCGATTTCGACAGACAATCACGACTGATTATTATCTGGTGTTGACGTTCCTGGTTAGCATACATGCACACTGTTGCAGGGAACTTAAAGAATAGTTAAACTAAGAGAGTAAACTACTCACAGTGTGGGTTATATCTCCTTTAACAACTCCCGGTATCATACAACCATGTACAGACATGTCTTGTTCAATGGCTCAATACAAGTATGTCTGTTCTTTAAACGTATTGTTTGTCCACCTTGCACATGGCCATCATAAATTTAAACATATCCACCGTATCTAACAAGCATAGGCTCAACCCTTATCCCCACCTGGTGTTTTGTTTGACTGTGCGTCACAACTGTGGCACACAATGATAAATTGCCCTGCACTAACA